ACTCCTAATACTCCATCCAAATCTTTGAGATAAGTAAATCAGAATTACTCGAAGAATCCATGAAGTTCTTACCATCTTCTGTACACATCATACATAAGAAGTCGCACTTAACTTATTGATTACATGTGTCCTCGGGTTCTCAATACGGCTTTAGGGAGAACCATCATTGATTGATCAAACACCGCCGGGTTTCCAACAAGAATCTAACTCTCGTACTGTCGCTTAAGGCGAGATGAAACGTTGATTGTGTATCTTTAAGACCAATACACACCTATTTGGAAACTTCCATATTTGTGTAATTCTTAACATACTCATGTGCAATTGTGCACGCTAATTCATCTATCGTAATTGAGATGACATTTTCTCATAAACAGATTTCTTATGTCAATAGAGATGATATGTCTATGCTAATAGCCATGACATTTTTCTAAAAGAGGATGAAAATTTTACTGGTTTCTGTTAGCCAATAGGTCAATAAAATGCGACAAATTATATGGTATAGTCGTCATTTTTGTAATTAATTTCAAGTTAAAGCCTAATAGTTAAATTGTTCCTCTAGTGTGTTACATTTGTTACATTAGAGCATCTCTAATGGTATACCGTTGACTAATAAAAATTGCCACATGAATCACTGGACCAAGTTACGTTTTGGGGTTCACCGTCTAAAAAACCATTTATTGATTGACATGCGTAAATAATTACTTCTTCTTAACAATATAGCATTTAAGATGCTCTTAGTTACGATGTTGTTTTATGTGTTTCTTTTTATTTCTTTTTTATTTGACAACCTTTTTGCACTTTCAAAAACAACAACCTTTTTGTCTTAATTTTCTAATCAATTATTATGAAAATGTATAATACAAAATATTATTCAATGCTGGAATTTTTTTTCTTTTCTTAGTCAACCTTCTAACTTATGTTTTTTAATTTATGAATTACAAAATATTTTAGGTATTATTTTTTTTCTATTCTAATTTTAAGATGAAAATTTATTATTTTATTAAATATTGTATGTTTATTACTAACATGAGTTTTGTGTTATACTAAACTATTATTATGAAAATGTATAATACAAAATATTATTATCAAAATGTATAATACAAAATATTTTTTAAGGTTGGAATTTTTTTCTTTTCTCTGTCAACCTTCTAACTTACGTATTTTGAATTTATGAATTACAAAATATTTCAGGTATTAATTTTTTTCTATTCTAATTTTAAGATTAAAATTTATTATTTTATCAAATATTGTGTGTTTATTATTAACATGAGTTTTGTGTTATACTAAAATGAGTATAGTGTAAAATAAATGTGCATGAGTAAATAATATAAAAGCAACACGATTATTTGTAATTCAAGAACAGAAGACTATAAATTATTTTTAATATACCATTTTTATATTTCTCATTGTTATATATAATGATAGTTTATTAAATTGTTAATAATGAATTTACTAGATGTACATATTATAGAAAGAAGTTTATGTTATGTTCGAATGAGTATAATGATTAAAAGAAATGAGCATACACAAATGCATATTTGAACATATTAGAGAATTCAATCGAGTTTTTGAACATTTCGATACTCATTTTGTAAGTTACATATGCTCATCTTGTATTGGTTTTATTCTCGTTTTAAAATGTCATATCAATGTATATTTCAAAACTATCATATTACATTAGATTCACATGAGAATTGATCATAGACACGAGAGTAGAGATCATGATACTCAATTGCATGCTTCTAATACTCAATAGAAGAGGTTTGATGCTCATTGAAAATGTCTCGATGCTCAACTAACAAAGCTTATTATTTTCATGTCAATGCTGATTTTGTAAGTTATGTTTGCTCATTTTGTACTAATGTTATGCTCATTTTAAAATGTCATACCAATATCTTTAAAATATCATATTACATTAAATTCGCATATTGAAATTCTTAGGAGTTCATTGTAAATTCAAATTAAGATTTTTTTATAAACCAAAACATAAGAAAATGAAAGTGAATTAGAAGATATAAAGCGGAGATCACGATGTTCATTAATAGTCTCCTAATGCTCAAAATAATAGGTCTAATACTCATTAACATTGCATTAATACTTATTTAAAAGAAACCACGATTTTCACCGAAATGACAAAATTATCATCGGTTGTACGGTGCAAGCTGTACGGTCGACTGTACAGTATACACACTAATAAAATGTCGACCCATTTGACATATAGGACGTGTTTGGCATTCAGCGGTTAGCTGTTAGCGGATGGCGGATTATGTTAGCGGGTTGTCAATAGCGAATTTGGTCAGCAGATTTGACTAGCGAAATTGGCGGGTGTCAGAAGATGTTTGATAATTTAGATGTTTACCCATAAAATTAGTAGAAAACGCCATTTTTCAAAACGCCAACCCCAAACTCTGCAGTTAGCATCGTTTTCGTTTCAGCGTTTTCGTCCAAAAACACTGGTACCGAACAGCTATTTACCAAATAACTTTTTCACTTATTGAAAACGCTAAAGTAGTCAAACCGCCATTTTTCGGCTGAAACGCCGTTTTACCAAACGCCCCCTTAGTTTTACCCATTTGACATTTATTAATTAGTTTCTTAAGATGAAATCGTTATTTGATAATGGCAATTTGATTTGATTGTGGTAATTTGGCTTGAGTTCCATATTTGAATCCATTATGACAAATTTACAGTATCCTAATAGAGCATTTTCGTTTGAGGATTAAACTATTAGAAATTGAAATAAATGCTACATTTTGAAAAAACTAGTGTTAAAGTCGGGTGTTGTCCCGGGTGGTGTTTATACTTCTCATGTGTGGTTTTACTTTATACTCCCTCCGTATCTGATTAGATGACCTGTTTGCTTTTCACAGAGTTTAAGACAATTACTGTAGACTTTATAAAAAGTAAGAGGTTTTTGGTACTGTAGCGCTAATGTAGTGGTACCGTAGCTGCTTTTTGAGTGGGATTTTTTCCAAAAAAGGAAAGGAGACAATTAATTTGATACACCAAAAAAGGAAAGTGTGACAAGTAAATAGATACGGAGGGAGTAACTATCAATGATTTTTAAACCCCTCTGAATATATAAATTATACACATAATCTCGTCGTGATTCAAACACGAGCACAAGTTCATTATATTACAATTAATCACTCATTTCATACTCTAAATCGGAATGACAAATTTTCATCAAGAAAATATGTATCTTAGGCAGGGGCGGATCTACATACACATTGGGGGCAGCTGCCCCAAGGTGCAGTAGTGCCACATAAATTAGTAGGAAAAATACTTAGTTTATACATTTGCCCCCAATTAAAAATAAAGATTGCCCCCATAAGCGTAGAGTCTAACGGGTAAAGTATATAATTTCAGAGCTTCACTTTTCATCAAAGATTAATAGGGAGTTCAAAAGTGGAGTCTTATAATTTGTACTTCACGGAGTATTTAATTATCAAGACTCAGAGATGTATTTTTTACTCTACAAGTAATAAATAACCAAACTAATTTATCCTAATTTATAAAAATCTTAATACGTAATACGGTAGCCTATAGGTTAAAATTAATGTGGTAATAATTTAAATTTTAAAATTAACTATATAGTAATGTAAATAACACTTTTATCGTGACATAAAACTAACCATAATCTTCGTCCCATAATGTAAGATACATGCAAGTTTGGTGTGAGTTTTAAGAAAATATAGAATAAAATTATTATTTAACAATTGTAACCTCCACAAAGTAAGAAAAGGTAAGTTGAGTTCATCAAAGGTAAAAAGTGAAATGATAGATAAATAGATAAAGTGAGAAAATAAAAAGTTAATGGAGTGTTCAATTCAAGAAAATGTTCATATATTTGGGACAATCCAAAAAAAAGTATCTTACAAAGTGAAAAAAAGTACATACTAATTACTAATGTAATTATCACTATTAGGTTAAGTGGTTAACATATTACTAATATAGCTAGCACGATTAAAATGTTATTTACGTTGATAATGTGCTAACGCATCGAAGGATTGATAATATAAAAGTCTTGGTGATCTTTAGTTACGTTCTTTTATCAAAACAAATTTTTCACATCCTTTGGTATATACGCTTTCAAAGATTATTTTAGCTTTGCCCGTTGCCGTGCAACTTTGAAAGATGCTTTTCTCGAATGAAAACAGTTAAACTAACTTGCATTACATAAACCCGGTACGGTGATCAATTTTTGAATGATTGTTTAGTTTCTCTTATATAAAGAAAATTAGTGAAACTGTAGTAAATCACTTTCAAAAATGAAATTCGATGATAGTAGTTGGATCCTGCCCTCAATACATCGTATTTCTGGATCCGCCACTGATCTTAGATTTAAGTAAACTTGCATGTATATTTGTCTAGATATCTAAATCTTCCTCGCGACTCAAGTCCAAATTATTAATAGAAACAAAGATATACGTCTTTCACCCAGGTGCATACTCTTCAGGTTCACTAAATCAACCGTGTTACGGAGATTGACTAAAAATTTGAATACATTATGGGCATGCTGAAATACGAGTTGCGTTATTATCTCGTTGGAAAGATCTTACCGAGTTCTAAAACTTGTCTTCATGCGCAGGTTTCAAAATATCAAGGGATGATTGCCTAATTACTAAAATACACTATATTTACGCTAAAAGTGCTCTATTTTCGCTGAAAACGCTAAATCATAGAGATAAGGCTAAGTATTTGTGACACTCATATCTTGCTGTGTGTTTATCCGTTTGGAGCGTATTATATCTCGTTAGAAAGATAGATCGGAGCTCTAAAGCTATTGTTCCAACTTCAATTACAATGCATTAATTAAAAACACTAAGGGCCTGTTTACTAACATAAATATTTTTCTGTTTTCATTCTCTGTTTTCAAGTCTCCAGTTTTCTGTTTTCGTTTTCCAGTTTTTTGTTTTCCAAATCAAAAAACATGTTTACCAGAGTTTTCCAATTTTCCACTTCATTTTTCAAGAAAATGTTGACTTAATATTTGGAAAAGAAATGCACTATTACAAACATTTGGAATAACACAAAAAATTAACATAAATGTTCCCCAACACTGAAAGTTCAATAAGTGACATTATGTTAATCAAAACAATAGTCGTACTTCGACATCTCATACATTATAATCATCTCATATTGGATTTGTAATACTTTCTCGAATTTCGTGCATTTGTTGTTATTGAGACATATCAAATTCAAGTGATCCATTTTCACTTGTACTTGCCTCCGTGTGAAAAATCATATCCTCTTCCTCGTACTCCAAGAACAAACGGTCGTTCCTATCTTGCATGCGAATGAAGTTATGCAATGCGCAACAAGCTATGGGAATTTGAATCTGTTTTCTCAATGGGTAACCATGTGATATGTCTAAAATAGGAATTCTTTCCTTTAGTACTCCGAAACACCTCTCGATCACATTACGCAAGGACGAGTGTCTGTAGTTAAATAAAGCTTGCTTATTGCGTATTCGTCCTCAGCCTCAAAAATCATTTAAATCATAACTCTCTCGATGGTATGGGGCTAAAAAGCCCGGAACATTTGGATAGCCGGCATCAACAACATAGTAATAACCTATAATGAAGTCAATACCAAATGCAATGCGAACATATTTTTGTAAAATAGTAGCTTGATTAAGACAAATTGCATAATTATTGTATTACCGATAGGAGGCATGGGCAACCCATTTTCGCTTCTTGTAATTGCATCTAAAAATACTCGAGAGTCATTGCATGTTCCCTCCCAACCTGCATATACATACGTAAACAACATGTCACGACTACAAGCTGCCATGACATTTTGAGTCACCGTTGAATGTCTACCGTGAACCGTCTTTTGTTTGGAAGCTGATATGCACTAGTTTATAGTGCATAAATGTATGTTTTTATGTTGATTGGGTGTGGATTTTCCATCGCTTTTAGTTAGTTTGTAAGTACTTGTTTTATTTTGTTTGTAATTGTTTTCTCCTTCTTTTCGTAGTTATAGAATAGTGATAGAGTTTGTAGCAAGGAAAAGGGAAGAAAAGATGAAGACAAAAATACCCAGGAGCACAAAAACCCGACCGGGTCAGACCTTGAACCCGGTCGGGTCAGTTGAAGACCGGATCTAAGAAGAAAAAGTAAGACCCGGTCGGGTCCCTTACTCGACCCGGTCGGGTCAGATATGACCCGGAACACCAGAACATGCTGAAGATCACAAAGATTTGGAAAAATCTGATTTAGACCAAACCCGGTCGGGTCCCTTACTTGACCCGGTCGGGTCTGACTTGACCCGGTTGGGCATAGCATTTATGACTTCAACGCATCGGGTCATAGAAAAATTGCCCGCTGCAGCGGTAGATGTGGTGCTAACATCTTCATCTCGAGTACGGCGCCTCTTTTCCTTTTCACTCATTGTTGTCGTGTATGCGTGCACTGCATTCGCCAAAACAGTTTTCCAATCCTTATTGGTGGATGTCATCGCTTCGTCAGCTTTGCGTTTCCCTTTTGAGTGTGATCTGTCAGAGCTCATGCCCCCCTCGCCATTTAAGAATATCTTCTCATTTCTTCTTTCCTCATCTGAAAGTGTGGGTACTTGGGTCGAAGGAGTAGCAAGTCCTCCACTTGCACTCCCTTGTCCGAAAACAAGATTCATTAATGGATAGTTCTTGCAACCCTTCCTTTTAAAGGTCCTAAAGCCCATGTTCAACTGCATATTTGTAGTACACATATGTCATTTAAAGAGCTTATTAAAATATGATTAAAAATCATTTATTAAATTAGACATGTACCTTGTAAAATTTCTGCCAACATTCCTCTGTGGCATATACAACATTCCTACTGGAATCATATGTAACGCCAGTATGAGCCAATAATTGACTAAATTGTCTATGTATGATCTCCAACCTATTGTATTTCCCTCGTAGCCTGTCACTACCATATTGATAATGACCGCGGATCAACATTTCACTATCCATATCATTCCAATCTCGCCGCCCTTAAATGTTGGATTCCCATTAGGGTCTTTTTTTACCCTTTCATATAGCACAGTCAAGAATAAAGTCTCTTTCTCATCGGGCCATATGGCGTCATCCTTTTCATCTTGAGTTAAACTCATCTACCACAACAAATTTGGACACTCACTTGAATAATACCAAAAAATGTAATAAAAAGAGCGTAGTAGGGAAACAATAGTGAATATAGGACTGTATGGTATCAGTGAAATATATACGTGGTTTTCAATACTACAAAATCATTTTATAAAGAGACATAATAATTCCCATTTGCTGGAAACATCTTTGACGAAATCTGCTGATAAAATAGGATAAAGCTTCCAAAGCATAATCAGGAATGTGAAGCCTCTACTGCACTCTAGACTTGCTCTTGCTGCTGTAATTTATTAGTTTATCTCTATCTTTTCAGATCACGTAGACATACAAAATGTGATGCTTACAAAAAATAAAAACGTAAACTAGAAAATGAACCAACTACGGAAAGAAGTAAATGTTGACACAATAGAAATGGCTAGTCCCTATTAATAGTAATTGAGCCTGATCATAGTAAATACGTTATTTCAATAGGTACTTCGTTAATAAATACTCCACCAATGATACACACGGGTTTAAATTAAAGAAAATAGTGATTGTCAAGATATAAGAGAATGTAAATTCGCTGGAACTCCATCAATGATCCTCAAGCAGAACTAAACATACCACAATATTGGTGGTATGCCTTTACAGCGCCCAACTGCATTGTATATCCCACTACTCCACATTACACTTTTGTAGTTATTGCAAGTCTGATTCTTATTTCTAACAACACTTGTATAGCCTTCATAAACACTAATGAACTGACCATACTATGACCAAACCTCCCACCCTCTCAACAGAAGTAAAATAAAAAATGTACTGTATGAGAAAAAGAAGAAGAAGCAACAGGGATTCATATGACATGCAAATGAATGAGCATAGATGACAAGTTGACAACCCCATAAAGAGGATATCATGTTTTAATGGCCCAAATTCCTAATAAAACACATGTTTTAATGGCCCAGATCATAAATAGATCACTTTTAACAAACTATAAAATGTATAGCTCATACCAAAACAAGTTTTCTTTCAAATACAAACTAATGTGTAGTACTTTCTTAGTTCCTATCAACACAAATGTTCTCCCAAATGTTTGCAGGGGTCTCAAACATACGCACTAGTAGTTTAGTCCTGCTATCAGACTTCTTAAGCAATGAAAAAATCATTCTTAAGCAATGAAAACATACCTTTTAAGCAATGAAAAACCTGTCTAACCATAACAGACTTCAATTTTAGTAATCAAAATTGATACTATTGCATCAAAATAATGAAAACCTACCTTTTAACCCAAATATCAAAATAATCAAATCAGTAGTAAATGTATACTATTGCATCAAAAATACCCATAAATTAAAAAAATATGAAGCTCAATTGGCCTTCAGGTTTTCAATCGAATTCCAATTTTGTACAATGTAAAGTGAAGTTGCCATTTAATTTGAAGGTTTACCTTGAACTCGTCGACAGAACACGAGCCGACCGAAGAATTGGGAGATTCCGTGGTGGCAGGGTGCAGCTCCCCTACCAGCGACTCCGTGTTTAGTGAAGCTGGTGCGACGCCTTTGGGGAAAGAAGCTACGACCTGCAGAGTGTTGGAGAAGCTGTGTGATGCCTTTGGGAATCCTGGCGTGCAACTTTAATAGGGAAGGGAACTGGTTAGACGGTCTTCAACTTTTGCAGGGGGTTGGCGGGGATGTAAATGTGGTAGGCAAAGGAAGGTAGATGGTAGTAAAAGCTGAGGAAGGCAAGCCCAGTAAAGGGGAGGAAGGTATGTGGAGGAAAGGCGAGCGATTAAATAGGCACTGTACTCCGCGTTTTCTAAAATCTGAAAACGACCGAAAGTCGTTTTTCTATTTCAGAAGGAACAGGCGAGACATATCTCTTTTTTATGCTTTTGGAAAACAGTTAGGTAAACACGTTTTCTAATTTTTATAACTCCAGTTTTCCAAAATTTTGGAAAAACAGAAAATATTTTTGTTAGTCAACGGGCCCTAAAGTTTTTCATTTTATTCAACTATTAAATTTGATACTCCATATTAGAGAGTAACACATCTATGATTCATCACAATATTACATTTTGATGTATGTTTTAAATTACATGGGGATAATGCACCTAACTTATATATCAAGGGGATTTCACACAATAAAATCAAAGTATATGAAAATTTTGTTTAATAATTTTTCATTTTAACCTATTAAATTTTGATAGGGTTTTATTCTTAAGAGTCGCAAAATTACAGAATGAATTTAATGTTTTTCAATCGGTCTTTTATTGATGTTTTTCAGATGATTTATATCAACTTCATTTGAAATTCACATATTTGATCATTACATATTATAGGATGTTTGAAATTAATTCTGCTTCTTCTTTTTCTTTTTTAAAAGTAGAAGCAAAATCAGTTTTCAGTAGCAAGTCTACCGCAACTTCTAAAAAACTGCTTCTAGAAACTATTTGAATCACTCTAATATATCTGTTTCTGCTCTCTAAAATTTAGAGAGCAGAAGAGACTTTAAGAAAGAGATCCTAACACCCCTATCATGCACATCTAATTATTTCAAAATATAAATTACAATGGTGAGAGTAAGAAGTTTGTGATATTTAGTGCTGCTTGGTAATTGAGCTTTTTATACTTGTGAAATTATCTCATAAATTTATGAAATTAAACTAATTAAAGTATACTTTTAGATAATGCACTATGGTTTGAGTATACTCAATAACTTGAGTATATAATTTGAGAAATATCCGTTTTATCGTTTGAATGTAGTCAATGTACTATGGTACAGACAGATATACATCCACTAATACACTATTAGTGTAGTTGACAAACAAAGGCGCTAGAGAAAACATGATCAATAAATTCCATATACACCAAGACTCCAAAAGGACCAAACCATAAAAACGCAATCAGCCAGAATGAACCGATCGCCATGCACAGCGCTAGACGTACACAGACCACAGAGAGCATGACAGACAATGTGCACTGGCCCCAGATTCGTTACCATATGTTGATAAAGAATATTGAAGCACCGCCATTGATTCAGACCTCTTTGACCTTCAGATGACATATGAACGAAATGCCGTTGCGTTTGGACTGCCAGGCTTCAATTTCGGGATGGACTGAACAGGCTTTTGAACAAAGCCTGCAAAAAATGGCGAAAAAACGCCTCAGCCTTCTCCAAATCAGCTAAGCCACCAACCAACTGCATCATTGTCATAACCAAAGATGTAAAACCATAAATATGTGATATTCTATCCTCTGAGTTCAAGGATGTATGTTAGGACGCTTCTAACCACAGTACATCTCGATTCCACACACCATTTCAGGAGAGTATATCGCACTGCCACAAGTTCTCAACTAGGAGTTGAATCGCACTGCTACCCATGGAGTTGCAGTTCTGGAGATTCAACCCCAGCAGAGTCTTCCCCAAATTTTTTAAACAAGGAAGACTCTTCTCGGTGACCATTCCGCAACCCGACAAAGAAAGAATCTGCAGATTCCTCTGCACGCCACGTGCCAAAGCGGCAACACCGGAATCAGTGACTGAGCACCTGGAAACGTCCAGGTCATTAAGCAACTCACAGTTTTCGGCAAGTGCCATCAAACTCCTGTCTGTGATCTTCGGGCAGCCGTCGAGATTCAGAACCTCAAGAGTCCACCCATGGAGCTGGGCAAGCACCACCACTACTTCATCCGTCAGGTTCAGGCAGTTACTCAGATTCACTTTCACCAGTCCCGCCTCACAGCACTCGACGAGCGGGATAAGACCCAAATCCGTAATCCCGCTGAGTCCGTCGAGATCCAGAGATCTAAGAGACCCACAAGACGACAAAAACGGGATTTGTGAATCAAGACCATTCACACCATAACACTTGGTAACTGATATAGATTTTAGTTTTCTGCAATTGGAAACTGCGTTGAGCAAACCGCTTCGGGTGACCCGATTACACTCCTCCAGCTTCAGGATTTCAAGGAATTCATTTGCTTTCGTGAACGCTGATAACCCGGAATCCGACACGAATAAACACTTGCGAAGACAAATAAACTTTAGATCCAAACAGCCCTTCCCGATTTCTTCAAGACTCAAGTCAGTTATCCCCCGGCATGAAGAAATGGTCAATGAGGTCAACTTCTGCAGACCATGGGCATTACCCATTACCCAAAAACCCTTTTGGGTCACATTATGAAGCTCCCCAAGGTCAAGACGGGTAATTCCCTTCCCATAATGTCCGATAACAGCAAGTGAGAAATCTGTTATGCTCAAACCGTGAAGTTTAACCTCCGTGACCGAGGAAGCAGATGATAGAAGACCGGCAATGCCCTCGTCTGAAATTACCAGGCAGTCCTTAACGGTAAGCGACCGTAACTCAGGACAGTGCCTTCCAATAGCCCTAATTCCCTCATTCCCAACACAAGGGCATGATTCAACTGTTAACGATGTCAAATTAGGGCAATTCTCAGCAATGGAAAGGAGACCTTTGTTGGAAATAGAAGTACAGTGAGATAAATCAAGCTTCTCCAATGAATGGCATCCCTTGGCAATCACAAAAAGGCCTTCGTCACTTACAGAAGAGACATTCCATAGGGATAGAACCTTAAGGGAAGGGCAAGCACGGGCTATTGCTAATAAACCGACATTAGTAACTCCATGGCTCCCTCTGATATAAAGCTTCCCAAGTCCACCACGACTTGAAATGCCGACAGCAATGGCTTCTAATCTAATATCGGAGGCTTTCTTCCCTTCCAGTGACCTTGTAAGGTACCCTGCACACTCGCCTTTTAGATCTTTGGTATAACAAACACTACTTAAGAGCGTCAGCCAGCGCTTGGAAACAAGGGAGGAGAGGCTCCTTTCCCGGGGCCCAGAGAGACGGCTAAAGATCTCAAACAAACATTCATCTGGAAGAATCTCAATGGATGGTTTAGTGCTCTCCTCTTGAACAACAAGATATGGGCAGGTAACTCTTGCCCGTTTTCTTGGTGGACAGTAAACATCCACACAACCTAGAGATAGCATAATGCCTCCAGAATCTGCAGAGCGTAACGGACTTCCATTGTAGAATTCAATATCACCTGAAATCATAAAAGAGGGAATCTGTTTAATATATAACCTTCACTAAATCAATGTTATTGAACTGTGAAAGCTTGTGAAATCATCTAAGCTAAAAGTTTAAGCAGAAAAACCAATTAAGCCTTTATTAATTAAAGGAAAGTGTCAAGGGAGTTAGAGAATGATCCAGAAATTGTAAAATTATCTCAAATCTCAAATTTACCCAAATCACAACACCTACAATTAACCACTGAGTAAATTTGAAATATTTGTATCGTTGAACTCTTTTATTATTCTCCACATATATCATTATCCTTGCATGAATTAAATTTAAATACTATCATGACAAATAAAGGAATTCTCAAGTTATTCAAACATTTTTCTGAGTCTTTGTTGGAGTTGTGATTGAGCTTGAGTGCAATCATTTCTAAAAGTCAATTTCATAGAAGGAAAGAAAGATTAGTCTCTTTGGTTTTATATATTTGTTCCATGTGTGATCAGTCTATAAACATCAAAATGCTCCATATTCTAATTCAAGTAATATTTTTATCTCATTTAGGAAACAACTTGAGAATCAACTTTTCTAGCAAAAAAAGAACACTTTTTTTTATCAAATTTACATTCATAACTAACTTACCTATATTCAGCTCAGATTCTAAACACGATAACATAATTTTCTTCCGAATCATGTCTAATTTAGGGCATTATTCCATAAACTAATTTCTAAAAATACGTTTCCTAACCATTATATAATTACCAAAGAAAGGCAAAAACAGTTTAGATCTCAAGAAAAGCAGTGAATAGCAGAATCTATGATCATGCTTAGCCATAATTGACAAAATATTAAACAAAGTTCACTTTACCCAAAAAGGGTGAAGCATGGGACTTCAAAAGCTCACCAGTATAATCAACAAGAGTAGGCATCTCTGATGTTCTTCAATTTCAAGAAAACCTCAGCAAATCTTTTACCCTAATGATGAGATTTTTCACCAAGAATAGCACAACCCAGATTTTAACTCCAGACAATAATTGCATTAGAGGTGCATAAACCCAATATATTTCCAAAATATCCCCACTTGCAAATGTATAGAAAATAGAGGAGAACAGGAAAGATGAAGAAGCCAAAAGATATGTGCTCTGACTTGCAGTTCTATTTGATCCAATAAATGAATAAATATATATACACACACTATATGTCTAATAAATAAAATAATTTTTTATAGAGGTTTTTATTTTTTGAGAAAATTTTTATATAGAGGTTAATGTATTTGGTGAGACGTCGATAAAGGCAACAGTATACAGCGATACCCGGAACGGACTCCCAAGTCTTGCCCACTCAAGCAAGCGTTCAATGAATCATTCCCCGGAACCGGTGCTGCCGGTTATTGTTCAGAGAACCCGGCCTGTTCATCAAGGCAGGTTCCTCTTTCTTACTTCAAGGCCAGCTAACCACGTGCCTTTACTGACTACCAGCTGCATGCGCGTTTATTCGTATTCAGAGTTCAGACGACCCTTTTCATACGGAATTTGGATTTGGAATTTGGAATAGTTGACATGCACGAACCTACTAAATCAAATTAAATTAAAAGTACGTTTGGGGACATTATTTTTTGATTTATAGATAACTTTTTCATGACAATCTAATTTTTGATTTCGTATATTAAATTGTGTAATAATCAAAATTAAGTAATATTGAAGTTATTCTTCTATTGGAATTGACTGAAAATACTAAAAAGAATAATTTTA